AGACCCAAAGTAGAAGCATCTAATCTTTGCAGTGCAAGAGGCTCAAATGGAGGTGGATAAACCTGGACACTATGCCTTGGTTAATGCAGCTTAAGATTGCATTAACTTTCTTTAGTAATCACATCATGCTGCCAGCTCGTGTTCAGCTGTGATTGACTGAGACATGGAAAATTACCGTATAATGAGCAAGGATTCTAGCCTGAAAGCAAATAAATATATTTATTGACTTGTCCAGATGGATAATATATTTTCAGCAGTACTAGGGGAGCTGAGATGCAGAAGAAAATACTTGTGTTTCCAAACTTAATATCAAAACCATCATTCTGGAGGCAACCATCAAAATATATATGCTTGACTATTCAAGGGTAACAGATATTTACATCTCTTGCAATTTGCATACACACTTTCTATACCAGTAACACAGACTTTATACACTTAATTGATTCTCTTCATTGTTTCCATAATTACCAAGAACCTTGTAAAGACAATATAATCTAATTGTATCTTTTCATTTACCTAGAGGGGAGAAAAATACTTAATACTTTATATCAACATTGACATTAGGGATTAGCATTGGAAATGGTTATTAAGATGCAAAGGTTGAGTAGTTACAGAGTACTTGAATTTTTAGATACAGAACTATCAGAGTTGCTTACTGAGAGAAAAAACAGACACCTATTTTTTCCAACAGTAATATAATTTTAAAATGTGTAAAAGAACAACAAATTATTGGGGAAATTGCTTATTGTAATTGTGGCTCAGAATGGTGTAGTAGTTTGCGAGTTATGACTCTGGAGGCAGGCATGTAGCTGGGGGGGGGGGGGTTTAGGGGCTTCAGCCTCCCCCCCCCCAAATTCTCATGGTGGTTCGCGAAAAGGCCTTACTGGTGCATTATTTAAACTGTTATGTTTATTCATATCATGATCTGATCACCATACTCAACATATCCCATATGCATGGGGGTATTGGGGTAATGATACAAAAGGTTTGCTAGGCTAGACCCTCTTTCACTCAGACTCAGCCCCCCCAAAACTCAGCCCCCCAACCCCCCCGAAAAAAACCCCCCCCCCCCCCCGAAACGAAATCCTGGCTATGGGCCTGTCTGGAGGTCAGGGCTCAAATCCTGGCTCAGCTATGGAGACCAACTGAGAGACCTTGGGCAAGACACGCTTTCTTGTGTGTCTTGGGCAAGCCCTCTATGAACAACATTTTCCAAGAATCCCCTATGACAGGATTACCTTAGGGTTGCTATAAGTTGAAAATACCTTGAAAACACAAACAACCAAATTTATTACTGTTACAAAAGTAACATTTTAGTCTCACAAACACCCTATAGAGTAAGCAAGGCTGTAAAGTAACAGCTGCATTACCCAATAAACCCCGTAGCTATATATTTTCTATCTTTAACCATGCCACATTTTCTAAAATATACTTAGTGGTAATTGCTTTTGTAATAGTAAGAATTAACAACATTGAACCAGCCAATGAATTCTATGAGATAGCTCAAGTTGGAATGTCACCTAATATAGGCTTGCAAAGCTAGGGAAGCATATTTTTCAAACAGTGGAAAGAAGTGGGACATGGAAACATCAATGAGTGGAGAACAGTCATTCCAACTTGCTACAGTCTAGAAGGGACCAAAGAAACATAATAAATTCCAACATATAGAAAAATCAGCATGTCAATATGAAGATTTGAATCTAGCCGATCCTCATGATCAGAGTTGATATTTGGTATGTCGACAATAATTGTGTTGGGTGCTGTGAGTTTTCCAGGCTGTATGGCCATGTTCCAGAAGCATTTTCTCCTGACATTTTGCCCGCATCTATGGCAGGCATCCTCAGAGATTGTGAAGTTCAAAACCTCACAACCTTTGAGGATGCCTGCCATAGATGTGGGTAAAATGTCAGGAGAAAATGCTTCTGAAATATGGCCATACAGCCCGGAAAACTTACAGCAACCCAGTGATTCCGGCCATGAAAGCATTTGAGAACAAAATAATTGTGTTTATTCCATTCACTTAATGAGTCTTCTTAATTTTGAAGTAACAATTGGATTTGGGCTCTGATTTTTTGTGGAAACACAGGTTTTTCATCCTGACTTTATTTTTCCATGGAGGAAAATTCAAGTATGTGACAAACTTTGTGAAGTGATTCCCTGTATAAGGACCTCTTCACATATGTCACCAGAATCACCATGCATCATGGCAAATCCGGTGGTACACGATGGGGGAAACCCATCACCCCATTCCTTGCATTGCCCAACTCATTAGTTGCCCCATCCCAGAGGGGAGAGCATTGACAGCCCGATTTCCCCCTGTTGATCACAATTGAACACGGGACACAAGGTTTTGTACCTAAACCAATGTGGCATTCACATAGTACCATGAACTAGCATCAGAAAGCCCCTTGAGTATCACTGTCATACTGTAAGAGAGGGGACAGGCAACATTTATTTATTTACTTACTTCATTTATATCCTGTCCTTCTCAACCCCAAAGGGAACTCAGGGTGGCTTACAAAGAAGGCACAATTTGATGTCACGTTTACATACATAAAATAAAACAAAACATATACATTCAAATTAATAGTTAAATACAAAATTTTGAAAACAGTTACATTAAAAATCACACAGTCCAAAGGCATATTCCAGGAGCCGTTCCATAAATTGCACTATTCCATAGTCACTTATTTTTGCAGATCACTTATTGCATTGCAGATTGCTGTCAAAGGCTTGGTTCCACAACCATGCCTTCACTTTCTTTCTGAAGGACAAGAGGGAGGGAGCTGATCTAATTTCACTGTGGAGGGAAATCCATAGCCAAGGGGCCACCACTGTGAAGGCCCTGACTCTCATCCCCACCGGTTGCACCTGCAAAGAAGGTGGGACTGAGAGCAGGGCTTCCCCAGAAGATCAGGGGGGTGCTCTATAAATGTTTTCAACTAAAACTCCCATCAATTGCACCACTGGTTTTCAGGAATTACGGATGCTATAGTCTACAGCATGTGGAATTGTTTACTTCTTCACTGTTCAGCTAATTTCCTTGAGTCTGAGAGGGACCGTAGCACTAAATAGGTGGGGACATGGAATAGGCAGAGATAAAGAGTTGCCTTCGAGCTGAAAAGGGCGGTATAGGGCGGTTTTACTATAAAGGTATAGTAAATAAATAAATAATAAATAAAGAGGGTTCTCGTGACTTATCTAATTACTTATTATATCCAAATCAACCACTAGAATTGAAGGTAGTAAGTCTATATTGATTGTTTCTTTATAGACATCTAATGTGGGCTGTGTGGTTTTATTTTTCAGGTATTGTTTGTTTTGAGCAATTATTTTGATTTGTCACCAGCTCAAACAATAAATCTTTCAGTGTGAGCAAAAGTAATTGTAATAAAATTAATCAAGTCCTATTAATCAAAAGGCCTGATTTATGACTGGACTATTTCTCAAATCCAATGCATCTGAAAAACTACAGTATGGATTTATGTCTTACAATCTCTCCACCAGGCTTTTTCCCAATAATCATCTCACGCTTTTAAGATTACGCTGCATCTCCCTTATGCAGAACATCAATATGACGACAGAACCTATGTTTTCTGGATTAGTTTTAAAATACCAAGTAAGATTAATTAGAAAAAATAATAATCTCCAGACAGTAAAATGTCATCTTAAAGGATGCTTTCTCAGTGAGTCAGTTACATAGAATTTTGGTCCAATTTGCAATTCACATACCTATATTAACATCTATCTTGTAGCTGTTTTACAGCCTATTTTTCAAAACACAAATCCAGGAAGGCAAAGAAGTGTGACAGCCATTATTAGTGTAACAATCATCGAGTTTTATAAACATCATTGTGTCAGAATGAGTAAATCAAAATATACCTGTGGGTGAATATTTCAATCTCATCATCTTCCAAGAACATTCATCTGAAAAGGAGATAAAAAGAAATCTCTCCAGACTCCTCATGTACCTGATTCAGAACTTATCTTTTCTGTTTTTATAAAGGAAACAATCAGAAGTTTGAAGAAACAGACCCGTGTCTGCTCTTTCGTAAACAAAAGCCATTGCTTTTTCAGTGTGATTGTCAAAGACTGCCTAATGCCAACTTGGCAAGGAAATTGTGGCGGATGTAATCCATCATATCTGGAAGACACACAAGTCACAAAACCTGGGCCTCAGGTTCTGCCATAGTGTTACACCACTGTGCATCCAAACTCCCTAACTTTATCCACTGGAGGCCAGGTGGCCTTGTGTTTATGTAGAGCATGGCATCCTTTTTTTTAGTTGAACAAAATACTTTTCAAGAGGAGTGCTCTCACCCTGAGATCACCCCCCCCCCCCGCCCCCACTACTTTCAGCTGGAGGGTCCTACAATCCCCTAGCCATTTTGCTTCTGGTCTTCATTTGCTGTCACCACTAGTAGAACAATATCACCAATACAGGCCCATAGCCAGGATTTTGTTTCGGGGGGAGCTGAGTTTGATTCGGGGGGGGGGGGGCTGAGTCTGAGTGAAAGAGGGTCTACCCTAGCAAACCTTTTGTATCGTTACCCCAATACCCCCATGCATATGGGATATATTGAGCATGGTGATCAGATCATGATATGAATAAACATAACAGTTTAAATAATGTACCAGTAAGGCTTTCTCGCGGACCACCATGAGAATTTCGGGGGGGGGCTGCACCCCCCCCACCCCCCCCCCCCCCCCCCGGCTACATGCCTGCACCAATATTAGGTGGTACTCAAGCAAAACATGTGTTTGGGGAAAAAATGCAAGCCTTTATTTCATCTTTCTGGAACTGAAGAAACCTTTCTGCTCTGCCAGAATTACAAAGCCAGCATGACCAATGTCCTTGTTTGCTGGGGACAATGGAAGTGGTAATTTGAAATAACTTTCTCACTTTTTGTGGAGTTTATTGGATCAGCAAAGAATAGCTCTTCGTTTTCAGCTTAAGCAATGTTCTGTAATAAACAGCACATCTATTCATTTGATCCTAGATGCAGCCAACACTACAGCAAAAGTTCCTGAACCCACCCAAGATAAAAAATCAGCAAACCCTCCTGGAACAACAAACCCAGAAGAGGTACAGCCAGTCAAGGAGAAAGAAGAGGCAGCTGAGTAAGTAACGTGGATGACTGGTTCATGATCATTCATAATGATTCTAGTAATGGAGGATTGGAGCTGAATAATAATAAATTCAGAACTATAAATATTTTTACTTTGGTGCATCCAAACAATTGGTTTCACAAATAAATATTTACTGGTTGGAACTGAAACGAATCTAAAAGAAATAACATTATTAAAAATCTGTTGATGACTGCGACATTTTAACTTCTAGTTTTTCAACCTCTTCACACGGCCCCTGGGGCCATGTCATTTCGCCAGTAGTCACCTGGGAAATGGTAGACACGCTGGGCACCTTGTGGCGCCCCACACCCCCCCCCCATCATATGGTGGGGATGGGACAAGGTGTGTTTGTGCCCTGTCCCCATCATTTGGGTGAAAGGGAGGTGACGTGTTGCCATGTTGCCCTTTCCCCCATCATATGGTGAAAGGGGCAAAAAAAATATCCGATGGAGCTACCTAAAACACACTTTCCCCTCCACTTTGGGAGAAATGGGAACTGGGCCAAGCCAGTGTCATTTGATGGTGCTTGGGAGACCCTGTCCCAAAGAAAGAAAAGGGGCCATAAAAAACCCCGTGTGAAGAGATCCTTTTTGAGTTTCCAATATACTCAGCACTGGCCAGCTGAAAAGTCAGCTCTGCTATAAGGCAATTATAATGCTATGATTCCACTTGAATTGCTATGGCTCATTACTATGGAATCCTAGGGTTAGTACTTTAGAGAGGGCTGTTTAGAATTCAAAGCCACTGAAGATTGTTCTTTTTGTTGTCCCACCTTTTTCTAGACACAGACTCAAGGTGACTTGCAAAACTGAAACAACCACAGCTAAACAAAATATAATAAAAAGCATTGTACAGAAGTTAAAAATATAAATTTGCTAAAACAGAGAATTCACTAGCTTAGTATAAAGGGATAGAAAAGAGGGTTGTCATCCTAAATTCTCTACAAAAGGAGTTCCTGAGCCTGAGATCAGCCACAAGAAGGTTCTCTACACCAGATGTACCTGTGAGATTGAGTGAAAAAAGGGAGAAATCTCTCTAGATCTAAAGACATGAAATCTAGAGAGGCCCTTCTCTAGAATTAGGAAGGTATGGTCCTTCAAAAAAGCCAGGATCCAAAATGTATAAGGCTTAGCAGGTCCAAACCGGACCTTTAAATTTGGCCCAGAAAGAGACTGGCAGCTAATGGAGTGTGCTTGTGTGCTTCCTATAGCGAGACTGCAACTGTTTGTGCCAACTGAAGTTTCCAAACAGAACACACTACACCAGGGCCGTATCCAGAAAAAAAATTCGGGGAGGGTTGAAAATTTGGGGGGGGGGTTGAAACTTGCCTCCTAGCTCACGCTGAAGCAAAGAGCACAGCAGGGGGCAGAGCAGCCTTCAATAGCCTGCAGCTCCGCCCCTGTCAACCACCTCCACCAAGTCTGGCCTCCTTAATGAGAGCATTCAACACACACACACCCAACTTGGTTGCTTCACTACATCGGCTATTGCTGCAAGTAATGACAGTGTGAATAAATTGTCAATATTTGCTTGAGATAGTGCTTACAGTTCTGGAGGGACTCTTAATTTTTTGCATCTCATAGACTTAGCATGGGGATTTGGTTAACCAGTTAAAATTCATGAGTAAACCAGTTTTTTTAAAAAAATCTGAAACATTTCGGGGGGGGTTGAACCCCTAAAACCACCCCCTCGCTACAGGCCTGCACTACACTATACTACCCTACCCTACCGTACCCTAATGAGATGCAACTAAATAATGTGCCACCATGGCCAAATCCAATATCTCCAGGAACAGACATAAGCCTGAACTGTGTGAATGCACTCCTGTTCAACACCAAGGTTTGTACTTTTGGATGTATATTTAGAATTCACATCCATTGAAGATAGATCATGTTTTCTCCCAGTACCAAAGTAGCTTGCAAAAATACAGACTCAGGGCTGAGTCCAGAAGTCTACCAAGTTCTAATTGGTGTAACCCCATCTCTAGTGTTTCTGACAGAAATTCTTGTCCTAAGATTCCATAGGCTCCAGCCATTGTGGTGAAAGTATAATCACATAATATAATATCATAGTACAAAACACTACTTGTTATGATAATAAAAAAACAGTAAAAAGAAATAGTATTCTTGTATACACAATGGTTTTCCTGTATTTTGAGGATCCTAAAAGTTGGAAATAGAGTTAAACTAGTGATGGCTGCCTTTCTTTTAGTGCAGTCAAAGCATCTATCTCTAGACAAAACAGGTCATTTATATTATTTGACCAAATATGATTGGACCCTGTCATGATGGTGGCAGGGGTGGTGAAGTTATTCACCGTACTTGTTGTGTTTTGCAATCCACGATGGAGTAGATCTCTTCCTAAAGAGACTTGCAACTTAAAAAGAGATGGTAGAATTAAATGGAGGCAACTTCTAAGAATGAAAAAACATTGGTATCAATGCCATCCTATACATGCCCATCGAAAAATAGGTCTCACTATTTTCAGTGAAACTTACTCCCCACTTACTTGTGTAAGGAAGAGGTATATACACCACATGCTTTGCAAACCACACCAGATTCAGTGACTGGCATCTTCAACATAGAGCAGAAAGGCTGAAACCCTAAATAGCAACTGCCAGTCACTGTACACTGGCACTTTAATGATTTAGCAAGATAAGGGACTAATGCTGTCATTCAGGATAAAACAGCTCATTATGTTTATAGCCATTATATATATATATACAGTACTGTAGTTATAGTAGAATTTGGGGATTTAGGGGCTGTTTCATTTATGTCTTACCTGCCATTCCAGTACAGATCTGCAAGGTGTAAACAAAAGTTAATAACCAGAGCAAAACATTACCTGCCTAGACCACTGCTTCTTAAACTGTGGGTCACAACCCCAAATGTGGTTCTCTTAGCTCAATGTTGGGGTTCCAAAAAAAAATCTAAATGTCACCAAATGGCTGTTTTAGGCATTTAAATGAATCAGTTGTGCAGCAAATGCTTCAGCTGTAATTCATAAAAAGGAAAATCAGCCTGTTCACCAAGGTTTGAAAATGCAGATGTTTGATTTTTATACCTATTTTATGTACCTGGGGTTTTGTAAAAAAATTATTGTGCAGAAAGGGGTTGCAAGTAGAAAAGGTATAAGAAGCCCTGGTCTAAACAACATTTCTCATAGTCCCCTCCTTAGCATGGCCACTGGTTATTCGGATGGAGATAGTGGACATTGTAGTCCAAAAAACATTTTTCCAGACCCTATTAGTACTTAGTAAGGTCAATTTACAGCAGAAAAGCAGGACAGTTAGTGAAATGTTATCTCCCAGATTTAGACTCTTCCTGCTGTTTCTGTTTGCTACTATAAAGGCTGCTCAACTGCGTTTTGATCTCTGCACTCCCTTTACAAAACACCATTTTTAAAGTTTCCATTTTGAAGGAAACTTCTTTTTTATTTTGTTTTTTAGCATATCACCTCGGGATGAAGAAACTAATTTGTTATCCTGTCAAATGATTCAGTTAGCTTCTGACAGACAAGGTTCTCACCCCAGAATATCCTCACAGTCCATTAGCAAGAAAAATGACACCCTTTTTCTGGCTTTCCATCTCAGTACTTCCTCATTTTAAAAATATACAGAAATAGATTGTTATGAATATTAGCAAATAGTAGATGTAGACCTAGTTAGAGTTTGTCTAGTCACATCTGACTGCCATGTCTGAAAGCGGTTGGCACACATGAATGGTTGATGGACTGAATAACAGAATGATGATGATGCTAAAGATAATTCTAAATGCCAGTTGTCTAATTATTTCAATCGGGATTCTCTCTGAGTCCTGCTTGTCTATCAATGTGTTGTTATTTTGTCTCATAATAACAGCACAAGAGCTATTTCCATGAAGAACTTTGTGATATTTTTAACTTTACCAGTCTCTGAGTCATGGAAATATGATGCCATATTGCCATGTATTGCTTCCAAGTGCAACAAGTAAAATTAGTATACCATTTTTGTCAGCAAACAAGACAATGAATCCTTAATAGCAGGAAATGAAGCTGAAGAAGACAATTTTAAATGTTACTCTGAGGTTACGCAGGGAAGCTTGTTCAATGGAATCTGTTATAGTTTCCTTAGGACATTCCTTAATAAACGTTTATGTCATTGGAATGAAAAATGGCAATAGTGAATTTCAGAACAGTGATTAATTATACAGTTAAAGAAATGCAGAAAGTTGCTTTTCTGTAGCAAAAGGAACAAATTCATCTATTTTCTTGCTTAGATCAGAAAAAGAAAAAAAGATATTAAAATTCATTTGATGATTCATTCACAGTCACTTTTTAAGCACATACAGAGAGTAAAAATGCAACATTATCAAACAGACACTGACAGATTGCAGTACACACCTATACAATCTGAACCAGACATTCTAATTTAATTACAAGTGATTCAAATGCACTGGTCACACCCATCCATGCTTTCAAACTGTTGCTAGTCTACTCATATATTCCAAATATATGAAGGAATTTTCAAGAGCATTCAAATTGTGACGATGAGAGTGGTGCCACCTATATGTAGAACTGTAAGTTGCAGAATTTGAACTGTTGTATCATGTCTGATTTTGCCTTTTTACTCTGTAAATGTATAGTTGGATAGATTGGTTATTTATAGCTGTCAATCAATGTTGTTTACACCAGTTGAATTGCTCCTCCTGCTCAATTGTTTGACCCCACCTCTTCCTAGAGAGCAGGACAGTGTTTCGGTTTCCATTCCACCATCATTCTATCAGATGGACATGAGAGAGAGACTTGGCTCTGAAGCCCTTGATTAAGTTACCTCTCAGCACCAATTCTGAGGTTCTTACCCTTGAGACTTATGCTTCATGTTCAGATCAACCTGGACGACATTGAGGTCTCAAGCACCTTCAAACCAGTTCTTTGGCACCAGAAGAAAGCTTTGTGCCCTCAAAATATAGGCCATTGGAGTTAAGGTTGCCTTAAAGGGATAACTCTTTGTG